TGCCAAAATTTTAAGCAGCTAAAAGCAGAGCAGAGTTTTTGGCAGTCTCATGGTGTTAAGGAGACAAAAATATGAATATTAACGTGGCAAAGAGAAGGGCCTCTAGTTAATATCCAGGCTTTCCACTGGGATCTATGGACATTGGGCCTCACAAAGGCTGTAACACCTCCTCAGGTCAACTCAATCCCTGATTGTGTTAAGGTAATCTTCAGTACTCTAGCTGCCAGAATCCTTTCTAAAGGAGAATAACATCATCTAGACCCTCTACAATTTTTCCTACACAGTGTCTGGGATTTGATAAAAAACTACCAGGCATAACAAGAAACAGGCCAAAGCGGGAAAAAAGAATAATAAAAACAGACCAACAAGTAACCCAGAAATTAGAGTTATCAGAAATGGACTTTAACTATAATAAGTTCAAGAATATAGATAATAAGATTGAGAACTTCACCAGAGACCCAGAATCTATAAAAATATAAACAAATTGAAATTCTATAACTGAAAAATCACTGACATTATGAACTCAATAGATGGGTTTAACAGCAGATTTGTTAAAACTGAAGAGTAGATTAGCAAACCAGAAAGAGAAAATTACAGTACTGAGAGCCAAAAGTATTAAAAATATAGAAAAGAGCAAAGGGAACGCATAGGACATGATGAAACGTCTAACATATACATAATTTGAGTCCCAGAAGGGGAAGAGAGAGAACATGGAATAGAAGCATTATTTGAAGTGATAATGGCAAAGAACTTTCCCAAAGTGACCAATGAAAATAAGCCACAGATTCAGTAAGTGCACTGAATTATTAGCAGGATTTAAAAAAAAAATACTAAGCATACCGCTGTCAAACTGCTAAACACCCAAAATAAAGAAAATTTTGAAAGCAGCCAGCAAGAGCAACAATCCGACTGACAGCTAATTTCTCAAAAGGAACGATGGAAGCCATAACAATAAAATGACATCTTAAATGAAAGATAAGCTGCCATTATAGAATTCTGTATTTGCAAAAATATCCTTCAAACATAAAGGCAGCATAAAGACATTTACAGAAAACCAAGAGCTGAGGGAGTTTGTAGTAAACCTGCACTTAAAAGAAACACCAAAGAGATTTCTTCAGACAACGGAAAATTATCCCAGTTAGTAATACAGAAATGTAAGAAGGAATGAAGAGCAATAGAGATGGTAAGTATATGTTTAAGTCTAAAGGAACATTGACCATGCAAAATAGTAATAAAACAATAACAGAGGAAGAAAGGTCAGTGAGGTTAAACTATTATAAGATCCTAGCATTGTCCAGGAAGTGGTAAAAGTACTAATTTATTTTAGGTACTAATAAATCAAAGGTGCGTGTTGTAATTTTCAGGGTACCCACTACAGAAATAAAATTAAATAATATATAATTAATAAGGTAAAATAAAAAATGGAATATAAAGAGGTTTAATAATCCAAAAAGAAGACAACAAAGGGGGAAAAAGGAATAAAACAAATAGGACAAATAGAAAACAAATAGTAAGATGGTGGATATAAACTCAGATATGTCAGTAACTACATTAAATATTAATGGAAATACTCTATTTTAAAGACAATGATTATCCAACTGGATTTTTTAAAAAAACCTACTTCCTGCTTATAAGAATTATAACCACTTTGGAAAAGTGTTTGGCAGTATCTGCCAAACCTAGACACACATATACTCTGTGATCCAGCAATCCACTTCTAGAAATATACCCACAAGAAAGCATGCATGTGTGCACCGAAAGATGTGCACAGGATGTTTATAGCAGCATTACTTGTAATGGCCACAAACTAGAAACTACCCAAATATTCATCAACAAAAGGATGAATAAATTCATACAACACTATATAGCAAAGAGAAAGAACAACCTATAGCTACACACTACAACATGAATGAATCTCATAAAAGTAATGTTTATCAAAAGAAGCCAGGGACAAAAAGAATTCATACTGTATGGTTTCATTACCATAAAGTTCAAAAACAGGCAAAATTAATCTATGGTGTTAGTAGTTAGGACAGTGATTACCTTTGAAGGGGAGTGGTGACCAAAAGAAGTTAATGTTCTGTTTCTTCATCTCACTGATGATTACATGGGTATGATCACTTAATGAAAATTCACCAAGCTGTATATTTATGACTTGCATATTGTATCTATGTTGTATTTCAATAAAGTTTTTTTTTTAAAGTATACCAGTAAAGGTATTAGAACTGGCAGCGAGGTCAATCCAGTTACACTTCAGGATATAAGAAACTTAGCATGATTCCAGAAGGAAGAGATGAATACACTGGAAAGGGAGTGTTTGAAGATGTTGAAGAGATGATAAATTAAGCTATTTAAAGGATGACAAAGAGAGAAGATTCATTCATTCAGCAATATATTTTAGTACAAATATTTTTTAGAATAAATATTCATTCATTTAGCAAAATATTTATTCCCTCTTATAGTCCAGGAGCTATCCAAGGTGTTTGGGATTTGAATCTTTGGGATTAATAAGGCTCAGTCCCTATTTTTGGAGAGGTCACTGTCTAGTGGGGAAGGGTACCAAGAATGATGATAGTTAATAAAAGCTAGGTAGTTCGAACACCTTCATTGTACTAGGCTCTATGCTGTGCAGTTTTGTAGCTTCTTAGCTAATGTTCACAACCATCCAATGAGGTTAATATAATCCATTTTTCCCTGAGAAAACACAGGAAATAAGTTGTCCAAGTTCTCACCACCAAGAGAAAACCCCAAGTCTGTCTGACTTGTTCCTTCTGGTATTTCACATGGCCACTGGATGGTGGCTTAGAAGAGAGAAAACAATGTCATGAAATTGCAAGTAGAAGTCAAAATAAATTGCAGTGATGATGTTTTGGAGAAGATGGTATAGATAACTGGCTTGGACCTCACAGGATGAGCAGAGAATAACGTTTGATGGTCTGGAGGTGGATTTAGAGAAATAAGTCTTTTCCTCTGAGTGAGTAAGGGCCAGACTTTCAAAGAAAGCAGCAGAGGTATATAGTAAAACTGAGACGGCTGCGTACTGTTTCTCAGGAAGAGGATCTAAGGGTCTAGCTGCTCCATATACAGACTTTCAACCAAGCACCTTATTTCCAGGTTCTCCCTGAACTCTCCTCCTACAAAGGTGTCTGGCATCTTCCATTCCTGAACCTTTCTGGACTTCCTTGCTTTTTAAACCTTGGGATCACACTACACATATAATTTTACAGCCAAATTTTTTTTTTTTTTTTTACTTTCATTCATAATGAAACTCATGTTTCACTATGAGCATTTTCCCAAAGGAAAGTGCTTGTTGCTAAAACATCCCTATCCAACTACCTTTAACCCATCATAATGGGAAAGTTCTAGATTCCTACCAGAGTTCAAGCCAAGGTAGTCACATGTGTAATGCAAGTATTTATAAAACAGCAGGAAGGAAAAAACCTGTATACAAAATAAATTGTATCTTGGGACACCTACTCTCATGCCAGTATATCTTGGATGGTTTAACTACTAAATGTAGCAGTACAAGGCCAGGGAAAAACTTGTATCTCACACATTGGGATAATTTTAAGTAGCCTATTATATTAATTAGATTATTGATCCAGCTGCTATAACAGTGACCTGAATTAATGATGGCTTAACAAGATAGAAGTTTATTTCCTCTCTCGTTACAATCTGAGTGTGATATGATGGTTGCACCTAGGATCTTCCATCTTGTTGCTCTCTTATTCCTAGGCTGTTTCCATTGTTTACATGATTCAAGTTGGCTAACTACATTTTAGCCAGTGGGAAAAGGGAAATATGATCCAGGGAGCACACTCCCTTCTTTTAAAGGCACATTTTGCACATTTCACTTTCGTTCACATCTCATTATCCAGAAGTTACCAGAAGACTGGAAAACAATCTAGCTTGTTGGCCATGTACTCAGTGCTATATAAGAAGCCAAGGTCAAGTACTGGGGACAGCTAATGGTCTCTGCCATAATCTGAGTTTAGTAAAATCAAGGTTGTTGAATTTAGACTAACATAGCTGATTGTTAAGTTCTGATCTTTGTAGTAGGGCATTCTTCTACTTGTTTATATTAAAACTGTAATACATCCAGAACTTAAAACTAGGTAAAACCCTAGTGATTTTCCCTATATAGACCTAAGAGAATATGGAAGATTAATGCCTTATACTCCTTTATTCACTGGAATTCAGTAAAATCCTTGTATCCTTTCTCCACCCTGGCCAGTGAAGTCAAGCTCTTACAGGCCTACTTTTGCTTCTAATGCAAACTAATGAAATTCCAGAGTCGAGGCTTAGAAATGTACACTTTTATAATGAACAACAACAAAAAGAGACCTGGAGATGAAGGAGATGCCCCTCTACCCTACAGCAGCAGAGGAAAAGATATGGTTCGATATGGTTCTGTTTCATAGAACTTCTTCAAAGAATCTGCTTTGATGAAATGTTAAATGAACAACACTCGTAAGAACATCAATCTTATTTTCCTGTGCAATTTGAAAACTTGTCTGAATATTCATAATCTAGCAACTTGTTTTCTTCTCTGTTCTTGGAAATATAATTTGAATGAAAAGATCTTGTGAAACTCTTAAGACTTCTGAAATTGTTACTATTTACTGCAAAGATAACCTTCAAAGAGAGCTTGTAATTCTGATTGGTTGTCTTCCTTGATAGTTTGCTGCCTTGGTAATAATGCTGTAACTTACATGTCTGAATTCCTAAACAACCTAGACACTTGTAACTTTGCTCTGTCAAATCAGAAGAGAATCATTGGCACATTTCTCTTTTCCCACATATACAATGGAGAAAAATAAATTCCTTTCACACTAGTCGATTTCTTATTTTAACAAAGACTGAGAGCCTTGCTGCTAAATTAACAAGGGAAATTGCCTTTCATTTTTTCTGTGAAAATTTAGTATCTATTATCCTTATCTTTAGGAATTCATGAAATTCTTATTCTCAAGTTATTTAAGTGTTTCTCTTTTTCCACATAGACTGTCCTTCATCTACCTGGGTTCAGTTCCAAGACAGTTGTTACATTTTTCTTCAAGAAGGCATCAAAATAGAAAGCATAGAGGATGTCAGAAATCAGTGTACTGACCATGGTAAGGAGCTTATTCTTTTTTGTTTTTTCACAAATCAGTAGATAGTGTTCACTAATCTCTTTAAAAAATGGCATTGTCATATCTTTTACCTGCGTCCTTATAATAAATGGACAACTTTTATTCTACAGTACACAAGCCACAGGCAGTGGAATTAGGCGTACATTTAACCCTTGAGTTGGAAGACAGTTGTTAGACAATACTGTCCAAAGCATAGTGACAGAACCTTAGCAACAGCAGTATCTATTTATTTATTTATTTTTTGTGAGGAAGATCAGCCCTGAGCTAACATCCATGCTAATCCTCCTCTTTTTGCTGAGGAAGACCTGCTCTGAGCTAACATCTATTGCCAATCCTCCTCCTTCCCCCCCCCCCCAAACCCCCAGTAGATAGCTGTATGTCATAGCTGCACATCCTTCTAGTTGCTGTATGTGGGACTCGGCCTCAGCACGGCCGGAGAAGCGGGGCGTCGGTGCGCGCCCGGGATCCGATCCCAGGCCGCCAGTAGCGGAGCGCACGCACTTAACCGCTAAGCCAGGGGGCCGGCCCAGCAGTATCTATTTAATGTGCGTACTCTGTGGCAGGCACTGTGCTTAAGCACATCATATACTTTACCTAACTTTAATTATCATGACAAACCTATCAGCTAGTCTATTATTAGCCTCCTTTTATCAAGAGAAGAAATTAAGTTGTTACTTGTTCAAGGTTACACACGTAATAAATTGGCCCAGCTAGGATTCAAACCAGAGTCTGTCCGATTTTAGGACCAGAGTTCATAATCACTCTGTCATTCTGCCCTGAAAGTGCTGTTTCAGGCATGCGGTGTGGGCAGAAGACAGATTACACAGGACCATGAAGTGAGACTATGGTAAAGAAGGGTACGTTAAAGAAAAATGAGCAAAAGTCTATATGCTAGAGGATACGCTTAATGTTCTCTGGGAAATATATTTATAACTTCACATTGTGAAATATTTTAAATAAAAACGTCATTTTTAAAAAGGTGTGCTTGGGTGCTGTTTATAGTTTGCCTGTTTGGCCCAAAGTACATCCTTGTTGTTAAGCCTCTAATTTTTGTGATACTCATCAGCACAAACTAAAACTATGATGTGAGCTAGCATCTTTTTCAACTGAAATATCTGTGATAGCAAGATGAGAGTCCTTGATTCTTTAAAGGTGCTTTTTATTACTGTGTGAGTTCTAAAAATCTCCTGATTATTCCATTAATTTTGTCTTAGGCATATTTACACCTCCAGCATTTAGATATCCTTTTATCTAAAAAAACAATTTCTGACAATCCACCAATATAACATCTTGGAAGAATATCAAATTGTATTAGGAATACTTTAATTAAAATCATGTTCACTTATTATAGAAGGAATAAATGTAAGCACAGAAGTTTTTAATCCTATTACGTGCCACGTAATACCCAATACATATTTGTTTCCCTTTGAAAAACTCTTACCCGCCTAATGGTGTTGAATATTGGCTCTTTCAAAACAAGACAAAATTTCCAACGTGCCAATATGGTTTCATTTCAAGGAAACTGAATAATAGGAATTTTGTTGGTCTTACAAGATTTTTTAAATGGGGTTTCCTCTACAACTATCTTCTATTTTTTTAAATCATTTATATTAGGTATACTTAGACATAAACACACAGAAATTATATTGGAGGCTGAGAGCCAAGACAAGACATGTTCCTATACTTTTTTCGTTTCTATGAACCACAAGGTCAAAGTTCACTGTCCAGTTTTAATACTTATCTTAAGCAGTTAAGCAACTCCTTACTGTACAGAGACATAACGCATGTTGACTGACTTCCTCTGTAACTCAACTGTAGTTAGTTGTATTAGCTATTTTTCTTTAGCAAACAAAGCAAAACAAAATTGAAAATACCCAGAAACTTTGTGGTCTGATTTTTGATTGCTTGTTTCAAAGTCCACTGATTCTACTTGTTTAAGCCAGGTAGCCATTTAGGAATTTTAAATTGTTGTATACAAATTTGCTTATAAAATTTGTCTTGTGTCTAAAGATAAGTGTTTTTTCCACAGTTAATATTTTATAAATTCAGTTTGTCTTACTGACTTCATTGTTTTAAATTTCTCATACATTTCTGATAATCCTCTGCATTTGCTTCCACTCTGGACATAGCCATTTCACTGATGAATCAGAAAATTAGCTAAAATTAGTTAATAATACTGTTCCTTATTTTTGGCTAGGGTAATGTTTTGGTTTAGAACAGGAGGTGGACATGAATTCAGTTTATGCTATGTATGAAGAAGAAAAAGCATAAGGAATACTAGAATATTTACATTTGGATTTATAAAATCTTCACAGCTATACAAAATCATATCTTAAACCATAGGAAATAAGTGACTTGTTACCTTTTGGGCTGCCAAGAGCTGTATTTAGAAATATTCCCAGTGCTTTGTGCTAATTTACTTGATGTTACCTCTCCTTTACTTTTGGTACTATTATTCATTTAGGAAATTAATTGTGATAGGCTAAAATTTTTCTTATTTTGCAACATTTACCTTTAATTTATATATTATCATTAGAATAGAAAAAAATATTTTCAATCTTTCCTTTTTGTGATCTATGAGCTATGTCACTAGTCATAAAAAGAATTAAAGATGCAAATGACATCTCAGTAGGTACTGTCACTGATAATGCATTATAAAAAAATTTGCTTGAGTGCATGCATTCTTCAGGGACTTATGCTGTCATTTGTTAAAGAAAATGAAAGTATGTCTTATTTGCCTGACATAGTAATTTAAGTTTATATAGTATTTAATTAGATTACAATGTAAAAAATCATTAAAGTTCCACTGGCTGCCACAAGGTCAGAGAAAAGGATGAAAAACTCATCTCCAAACACTTATGCCTAAACTATAACCTAGTTAAATATTTCCCTTAAGGATTTTTCTAGAACAGCATTTTGGTCAGATTTCACAAGTACAAGTAAGTACACTAGGGTAAAATAGATTAAAAGTCTCTATGACATTTAACAGACAGGAGGTGATAGGAGCTAGAACTGATAAGAAAAACCATCATAGAGTTTTAAAAATGGAGATATGACTCAGAGAGAGAAGCTTGCTGAATCCTGACTTTGGATTAATTGAAGTGTTATTAAGTATTTTAAAGATCAGTCTTTTTTCTTTTATTTTAAAAGTTCTTTCTTAATTACACAATTAATGCACAATCACTATAGAAAACTTAGAAAAACACATATGCAAATATTTAAAAAATAAAACCAAACCACCCTAAATTGTACCACCCTAAGGAAATGTAACACTGTTAACATCCTGGTAAGCATCCTTCTAGACTCACCCCCAGCCCCAAGCAAATATATTTTAAGAAATGTTTGCATGTATATATATATATAGATCATATTAGGCAAACTGTTCTGTAATCTGATTTTTCCCTTAAAAATGTCTTTCCATGGTAGTAAATATAGAATGCATATTTCCTAGTAACTGTACATTATTCCACTAGATAGATATGCCATAATTGATTTAATTAATCCTCTAATATTGGTTATTAAATTATTTCCCATCTTTCAGGGTCATAAACAACGTGGGATGAACATTAATGATCGTGCCTATTTGAGCAGAAAGCCAATGACTGCCTTAGCATAAGTTGTTAGGGATTGCTGGGACAAAGAATATGTACTTGTTTTTAGGGCTTTTGATATATCTTGCCAAATTGTCTCCAAAAAGGTTGTGCTAATTTTCACTCCCACTAGCCATCTGAGTGCCTATTTTTCTACACCCAAGGCCCACACTGTTTAATCTGCAAATCTTAAAGTCTTATTTTAATTTTCATTTCTTCAGCAGTGAGACCCCATTTTTCACACATTTCTTGTGTTATATTTCCTTTTGTGAGGTGAACCGCCTTTTTAACAGTCTGAGACCAATTTTTTCCTTCTATTAAGGTGTTTGCCTTTTTATTTTTTATTTACAATAGAGCTTTAGTCTGCCCAGTTTGTGACTTTCTTCTTTAACAATATGGTATATTTTTAGAGAGATTTTTGGCCCTATACTAGTTTTCTCTTCCTCTGTAGTTAAACTTATTGTTTTTAAAGCCTCTTCTAAAAGATGTAAAAGTGTATCACCCAATACAAATTTTTCTTACTATATCAGAACATAATAGGAGCTCTTTCTCTTCTCCATTTAACTGTTAACATTATAAAAAAATTTATCAATTTTACAGTGATGTCATAAATACATTAATCTATTTTTTAAGCCTCCTATAATTCTCCAAGTGTGGTCCCTGGATCAGTAACATCAGCATCATCTGGGAACTTGTTAGCAATGTAAATTCTCAGGCCCCATCTCACTCCTACTCAATCAGAAAACCTGGGTGTGAGGCCCACCACTTTTGTTTTAACAAGGCCTCCAGGTGATTCTGATGCACACTAAAATTGGAGAACCACTGATCTAAGACAATATTCTGAAGTCTTCAGGAGCCTTTGTTAAGTCAGGATGATTTTGGAAGAATGTAACTTAATAATAGAAAAGGCTTCTTGCTCATCTCTCCATGTATTTGAATTAGTTGTAGTACACAAAGCCTCCAAGATAATTTTAAAATATGTGTAGAACCAACAACTTCTCCTTGGAAAATAATAGGAAAATTGTTACTTCTAAAATTACTGAGGTTGAAAGTCACGTTTCCTAGGAACATTTGGATATTATATTCCTCATTTAGCTGCGTACAGCTGAAAGGATGTCCTTGTTACTTCCCTTTATGTTCCCCAGGGGTTAGATGTCCCCTCCCCACCACATTTCTGGTTGCTATGAATATAAGCTTTGATGTCATCATTCATTCACTTGTTTTCACTTGCAAAAACATACAATATCATGAAACTAACTCCACTAGTGTTTTCTCATAAGTATTATCCAATGAAGACAGTGGAATGATTTTTTAATTCAAAAGAGAATCTTTGTTTGGGTTAAGAAACAAGGTTAAATACCTCTTGGAAAAGTAGTTACTGCAATATTTATAGGATGCTACGTAGCTTACAGAGTGTTATAAAAACAAGTTAATGTATGTGAGACATAAAATATACGTGGCTACTGCTCCTTACTCTTGAACCAGGTGAAAGAGTCCCAAGAAAAATCAACTATCCAGTATAACCGAGGACCTCCTTTATCCGTCAGTTTCTCTAACCAGGACATTTTAAAGGATGATCAGAGGAAAGAAAACATGCGAAGGCATTGGTTTTGGGCAGGAGACACATGAAGGCCAGTTAAGTGAGGCAGGTCAGAGAGAGAGCTTGTTGCTTGAACTTCATTAGTGTTGAGACTGCTCTGGCAAGTTGCCCTCATACTTTTCAGCTCTCCTGGGTGTGCTCAGAGCTACTCCTCCCTACACACATGAACTGAGGGCAGGAGAGGCCATGGTTGCTAGAGGAAGGGGTAGTGGGAAAAAGGAAAAAAAAGTGGGAGATTCAGAAAGTGTGTTTTACTGCTTAAGCCTCCCCAGGATGTTTTGTTTCCCTGTTGTTTATAATTGAGATTACCAATTCTAGGTGAATGAAATAAGAAAGTATAAAATGATTCTGTTCAATTTATCACATTATCATTTTACTTTTCTTGAGTGAGTATATTGTCTCTTCAGAAATGTACATATTCTCGTTAAATTTAAAAAGATGTAAAAGTGTAACATACTGTATATATTATAATAATGAAAATTTTTTATATACTTCATGTGATTTTCATTGATTCTGGGAATGTTTTTTTCCTCCCTAAAATAATTTCAGGAGCAGACATGATAAGCATACATAATGAAGAAGAAAATGCTTTTATACTGGATACTTTAAAAAAGCAATGGAAAGGCCCAGATGATATCCTACTAGGCATGTTTTTTGACACAGATGGTAAGTGATATTTACCTTATGGGATCTCACTTTCTTTTTTCTTAATGCTAGTAAAACTGATGACTTTCTTTTAGATTCTTCAATTCTCTAGTTCAAGCTGATGTTTCCTGTGGTCTCCAGGTATTGTATTTTCAGGATGCATCCATGACTTGTACCACAGCTTTTCCCTGAGCAGTTCAATGTGTCTGTCACATTAGAGACAAGGTTTCTTTTGTTTGGATTAAATCTGGTTCTAGGCTCAGTATTTCTGTAATATGGTAGGGTCATAAAAATTAGTATTAATGTCAACAATTAATTAAGATAAAGAGACTGAACTCTCAAGGTTACAATATGTAAATGTATTTATTGTCACTGTAGAAAATAGAAAGTACATATATAATTATTTTCAAAATGAAATGAAATTACTAAGGTTACTATTACTACTTTAACTATTTTCTTAGCTATTTCCCCATTAAAATGTTATTATATATATTTTTTCTTTACAAAAATGAGATCTTCTTCAGAACCTTCTTGAATCAATACCTTTGATTTGCCTGTACAGGATATTTAAATTCTACAACCAAAAGTTTAGACCACACATACCTTAAGTAACTTCCTACCTTTAATCCTAGATCCTTTTCTTTGACCTTCTAACATCTTTTTATACTTGTCATAATGTTGAAAATATTCCTTAACTGACAGATTCAAGTTTCAAGTGGTTTGATAAGTCAAATATGACATTTGATAAGTGGACAGACCAGGAAGATGGTGAGGATCTAGTTGACACCTGTGCCTTTTTGCACACCAAGACAGGTGAATGGAAAAAAGGAAGTTGTCAAGTTTCTTCTGTGGAGGGAACCCTTTGTAAAGCAGCTAGTAAGTATAACTGAAGGCCTTTTTCCATTCTAAGAGGGGTGAGGAAAGTAGGGCTGGTGTTAAAAATAATTTTGAGACAAGTGTGCCTCAATAAATAGAGGGAGTAAGACTTCAGTATATATTAGGAAGTCCTGGAAGTCAAATATGTAACTCTCTTACATTTCAGAGGTGGGGCCAGATCATGTGACCCAGGCATACTTTTATTCTATTTGCTTATTCTTAGAGCTTGCAAGAGGTCAAAGATTTCTTCTGTTTTGTTCAAAGGAATTATCATACCCTCTCTGCATGTGATTTGATTAAACAGTGGAAATGGTGAAATAATCATGTCTGATTCCCAAATTCTAATGATTCCAGAATTCTAATATTAACTTTACAAAGAATTTGATTCTCTACAAGAACTAACATCCTTTGTTTAGGCAAAGAAAAATTGCATCGTAGTTTATAATTTATTCTGGATTAAAATATAAATTTTCTTCTGACCCATGAGAATGCTTTCTAATGAACAAAATTATCCTGTCCTACAATATTTTGATGTTATTGTTAAACAGCACACAAAATTTGTTCTAAGTTTTAGAAAGAATCGTTTTCTCATTAAAGACACTTAAAATTTCAAAATATGATTTTGGGATGCTTGCAACATGTCACAAACAGCCATTTCCCCACTTCGCATCCTTAGTAGTCCCCTCTTCTACTTCAACTGTAAACTGAAACTTACATCTGCCTCTGATTCTTTTTTTCTTTACATCTGGAATTACATACATTTTTTTACTTCCCTCACCAGGGTTCTTGACTACAGTCGTTTTTTGTGTGTGTGTGAGGAAGATCGGCCCTGAGCTAACATCTGCCAATCCTCTTTTTTTTTTTTTCTGAGGAAGACTGGCCCTGGGCTAACATGCATGCCCATCTTCCTCTACTTTATATGGGATGCCACCACAGCATGGCTTGACAAGTGGTGCGTTGGTGTGCGCCCAGGATCCGAACCAGCGAACCCCGGGCCACTGCAGTGGAGCGCGCACACTTAACCGCTCACACCACCGGGCTGGCCCCCTTGACTACAATCATTTTTATAGTGATTATATAAAATCTGTCACAGTTTTATGGTAGTAGCATTCAACTTCCAATATTTATTGGAGGTTTAAAAAATTGGTTCTTTTCATATACAGTACCTCGGGGCACCATTATGTCAACCAAATTTTAAATTAAACTATAACTTTGAAACATCAGGAATAGTGAGCAAATCCATACTAATGAGGTAAGGTCACACTTGTATACTTTAATTTTATTATGTTAATTTTTTACAGACTCTCCAACCAAAATCCTCCTATTTCCCTCACCTCATCGTCTTTTTCTTGAGTTCCGTTATTCTTTTTCCACCAACCAAGCTAATGTATTTTTTTAGAACCCTACATCTTTTTTTAAAAACTAAGTTCAAAACAGATAACACAATTGACCAAGCAATAGAAATACGGATAATACTAAGCTGTTAAAAGGTTCTTTTTTAACTACTTTGAAAGTGTTTAAAGGCAATCTTAGAATAAACCATACTTAAATTTTAATTTTAATTTTCTTTTGTATTTTAGTCCCATATGAGAAGAAATATTTATCAGGTAAGTAATAGAGTTTTGTTAAAATTTTTCCCACAAGTAAAAATATACTGATTCTAGCATGTTAAAATACTACTAAAGACCCCTTTAAAAATTAATTATACAACATAACGTAAAGTAGAACAACTCTTATAAGAATGTAGAAATGTCTTAGCTTAGTAGTAAGACTTGACATTTTAAATATAACTGCAAGATATATATGAAATGAACATTTTTTTAAACACCTAATTTTCCCATTGAATTCCATTACCTGTTTTTGTAGGAAATGACTCTGCATCTTTTGTTAAAAAAAAATTCACCTCATAGTTGTAATTACAATTCACAAAGCATCTGTCTTAAGGGCTTACTAAATGCATTTTTTTTTTGGAAAAAGGAACAGGTAATATATTTACGTGGTTTAAAAAGCAAAACTATACAAGGCAACCACTGAAAAATCTGTCTCATACTGCCCCACCACCCTCTTCTACCTTTACCCTTACTGGGCACCATTTCAGTTTCTTCTTATCTAGTGTTTCTTTTGCCAATAGAAGCAAATTGAGATATAGACTTATTCTGACCCTTTTATTCACTAATATATTCTAGATATTGCTCCATATCATTATCTCTAGATTGATCTTTTTTTTTTTTTTTTTTTTTTTTTTTTACAACTGCATACGCTTCCATTGTATGGATATACATAGTTATTTAGCTCCAGACTCCCACTGGGGTTGCTTCCACACATTTGCTATTACAGACAATGCTGCAATGTATGAATCACCTTGCAAAAGTACATGTTTATCTGCAGATAAGATTTCTTGAAATGTAATTGCTGGATTGAAAGTGAATATATAACTTTGATCAATATTGATATAGTTTCAGAGGAGTTGTACCATTTTGCATTCCCAGAAGCAATATATGAGTGCCTGTTTTGAAACTTTTGGATTTTTGCCAATTGGATAGTATTTTTTAATCTCCATATTTTTGAAGTATAATTAACATAGTTTGTAAAATGCAGTCTTAAATGTACAGCTGGATGGTTGCTTATGTATATATCTGTGTAACTACCACTCAAATCAAGATATAGAACATTTCCATCACACCACAAAGTTCCCTCATGCCACTTCCCAATAAATGTCCACCCTACCACCATCCACCCCACAGGTAGCCACTGTTATGAATTCTATCACCACAGGTTAGAGTTTCTTGTTCTTGAACTTCACATAAATTTAACTCTACTGGCTTCTTTCACACAGGAATTTTTTAAAAGATTCACCCATGTTATGCATATGATATTGTACTTTTTCTGTTGTTGCATAGTATTTTATAAATATCCCACAATTTATCCATTCTCATTTATGGATAGTTGGATCATTTCTAGTTTGGCACTAATATGATAGAGCTGCCTTTGAACACTCTCATATGTCTTTTTTTGGACCTATGTTCTCATTTTCCTTGAGTATACTCCAAAGAGTGGACTTGCAGGGTCAGAGGGGAGCTAATGTGTTTAGCTTTATTAGAAACCATCAAATAATTTTTAAAGTGGTTGAACCATGTTACATTCCTACTGCAGTGTATGCAAGTTCCATTTGCTCTACATCCATCCCATGATGGTATTGTCAACCTATTTAATTTTAGCCACTCAGATGTGTGTGTAGTGATCTTACTGTAAGCTCCTCAAAATATTAAAAACAGGATTACTATAGGATCCAGCAATTCCACTTGTGAGTATATATCCAAAAAAGTGAGGAGGGATCAAAGAGATATCTGTACACCCATGTTCATAGCAGCATTATTTGCAAGAGTCAAGAGGCGGAACCAACTTGTGTCCATTGACGGATGAATGGAGAAGCAAAATGTGGTATACACATACTATGGAATATTATTCAACCTTAACAAGGAAGGCAATTCTAACACATGCTACAACATGCATGAACCTGGAGGACATTAGGCTAAGTGAAATAACCCAGTCACAAAAGGACAAATACCATATGATTCCAATTATTTGAGGTACCTGGAGGAGTCGATCTCATAGAGACAGAAGGTAGAATGGTGGTTGCCAGGGCTGGGGGGGCGGGGCTGGGGAGTTATTGTTTAACATATAGAGTTTCAGGTCTGCAAGATAAAGAGTTCTATGGATGAATGGTGGTGACATAGCACAAGTTGAATGTACTTAATGCTACTGAGCTATACACTTAAAAATGGTTAAGATGGTAAATTTTATGTGTATTTTACAATTAAATTTTTTTTTCTTTTTTTGTGAGGAAGATCAGCCCTGAGCTAACATCCATGCTAATCCTCCTCTTTTTGCTGAGGAAGACTGGCTCTGAGCTAACATCTACTGCCAATCCTCCTCCTTTTTTTCCCCAAAGCCCCAGTAGATAGTTGTATGTCACAGTTACACATCCTGCTAGTTGCTGTATGTGGGACGTGGCCTCAGCATGGCCGGAGAAGCGGTGCGTCAGTGCACGCCCGGATCTGAACCCGGACCGGCAGTAGTGGAGCGCGTGCACTTAACTGCTAAGCCATGGGGCCGGCCCTAAATTTTTTTTTTTTAAATCAGGAAAAGCAGTGTAAGCATGTTATTTAGAAGCATGGAGGCAAATAACAGAAGTAACAGGAGTGGTTAACTTTGAGGAATGGAAGTTAAGGGTGAGGAGTGGCAGGGCAGGAGGAGCACAGTATTTTACGTTACATACCTTGTAGAACTATGAATTTTAAGCTATGTACATGTATACTTTAGAAAAAGTAAAAGCATATATGCTAATTGAAACATGTTTAGAAAAGAGCAGGCAGGTCTATGATGGGTCTCAAGACCATGACAGGAATAGCTAAAAGATCTGGCAACATTTGGTCTTTAGACTCTAGAGGTACCTTTGAATTCATTTAAAAAATCTATATATCTCATAAATATGTATAACTACTACGTGCCGGGCTTTCGTGATATTAGACATTGAAGACAGCAAGAACAAAACAGAAAAAGCCTCTGCTTTCAAGCTTACATCTTAGTAGGAGTAAATACATGCAAATATATAGTATGTCAGACTGTGACATGTACTATAGAAAAAGAGCAGGATGAATGAGAGTACTGGGAGAAAGGGAGGTCTTGTGTTTTTTTTAGTAGGGTGGCCAGAGAAGGCATCACTGATAAGGTCATATTTAAGCAGAGTGAAGACCTAAAGGAAGTGAAAGGATGTCTGAAAGCCTGTCATACAGAAAGGGATTAGGTTTAAGTCTATGACCTTAAGGAGTAAATGAGTTGAAGCAACCAAGAGACAAACAGTTGAATGGTGTGGCAATCTGGGCAAACAAGGATTTCCCTTTCATACAAGTGTAGGCTGGAAGACCCCCTTGGGAAGAATGTTGTCAAAAGAATTAAAGCAGCTGTACTAGGATGTACATGGTATAGTAAGCATACAGAAAAAGGGAAGTTAACCCAAGCTGGGTTCAGCAAAGGCTTACTGGAAGTAATGCATGAGTTAAATCTCGAAGGACAAGTAGATAACAGACAACAAAGAGGAAAGGTTATCCAAGAGGATGGATCAGCATAAGCCAAGGTGAAGGGACTGGATTTTTGTTCTGCCACTTAGTAAAAGGACTTGGGCAAGTCATTTAAACCCTGTACCTGGGGCCGGCCCCATGGCTTAGCGGTTAAGTGTGTGCGCTCCGCTGCTGGCGGCCCAGGGTTCAGATCCCAGGCGCGCACCAACGCACTGCTTCTCCAGCCATGCTGAGGCCACGTCCCACATACAGCAACTAGAAGGATGTGCAGCTATGACATACAACTATCTACTGGGGCTTTGGGGGAAAAATAAATAAATAAAATTATAAACCCTGTACCTGTTTCTTATATAAGAAAGGGTAGAAAATTGGCGGGTTATATGTATACATTAGGCACTCAAACAAATTAGCCTATAATGATAGAGTCCAACAAAAAAATTTATATATACATTCTTTTTTTGGGGGGGAAGATTAGCCCTGAGCTAACATCTGTTGCCCATCTCCCTCTTTTTGCTGAGGAAGATTGGCCCTGAGCTAACAACTGTGCCCATCTTCCTCTATTTTTATATGTGGAACATATATGTGACACAGCACGGCTTGATGAGTGGTGCATAGGTCCACACCCAGGATCCAAACCAGCAAACCCCGGGCCACTGAAGCCGAGTGCGCGAACTTAACCAGTACACCACCAGGCAGGCCCCTTATATTGTTTTCTAAAGGCAGATTATGTAGTTTGGGCCTCAGATGATCAGTGGTAGAACTAGGGTACAAAGGTGGCAGGAAGAGGAACGGTCAGACAGGAAGAAGGTTGTAAAGACAGAATGTGTCACCTTGATTAACAAATGAAAAGTCTAGGATAATTCCTAGATTTGATGACTCAGCAGTGGCTACTGGTGTCATCATTTAATGGAATGTAAGAAAAAACGGACTTGGAAGTAACGAGGGGAGAGGCATCAGCTGCACACACTTATCGGTAAATAGATTTAAGACTCAAATGGTTTACATCAACCAAGGAGAGTTTTGAGTTCACGAAGATGATTAGGAAGGAGCAGCCTGAAAAATAAAAGGGAAAAAGGAGAGAGTAATGTCAGGGAAGCCAAGTGAGAATGTCTCAAGGCTGGGTGGCTAACAGTCCAGCTGTGGCAGATACAAGAAATGAAATGTGTCTATGTGTTTCTACATTTATACAGAGATCACTGGTGACCTTTTGTTAAGACAGACTGTATAGATTTGACAACTGACAGGGGAGTGAAAGCTTATGTTTCAATATAAATATTTGCTATACATACTTATATGTATAGGTTTGCCCAACTTCCTTTTATTAGGCTAAGGAAGATTTCTCATCTTCCTAGCCACAAGCTGATTTTTAAATTAGGACTGTTATATAACAGCAATTATTTACTCAGTAAAGTGAGCAGCAGGTTTTTCTTTCAATTAATGAGTAGATTTTCTAACGTAGAATTATCCTTTCCTCCAGATATAAAACCTTACACATTGTTTTAATGACACCACTCAATTGCCTCGATTGGCTTTCTTCCACATTTCAGTAGTATGCAGCTAGTCAACTCAAGGCTTTGGAGGCAGCTTGGCCACAGGTCATTTGCAGAATGTAAAAACACAAAGAGCATATATACTGACTGTCCCACCAATGCTGGATGCTGTTTAGTTCTTGGGATACCAAATCTTTTAATTTACTGTTAAGGTGTGTGATTATGTCTATAAATCATTCTCTCAATTACCATTATCTTTCAGGCTACAGTTTACTTTTCTCCTTTTTCCTTTATTGAGCTACAATCATGTAAATCACTATTTAAAGTAGATACTACTGATTATGAATGTACTATTGTACATTCATTAATAGACTGAAATAAAATTAGTATATTCACATTGGTAAAGTTAGGGCACTATACTGCAAAATGGGCTGTGTTAAGTTTAATACAACGATTAACTATGAAAGAATCCCATTTGAAATCAGTGTACGGAATTCTTGGCTTAACATCTGGCTTTTCACTTAAATGTTTCTTATAAGAATAAGACGCCCCCACATCTTAACAAGTTGTGACCACTACGAAATTTTATCTATTTTAGGATTAAAAAGAAGAGAATTCAGCTGTGGCCATTTCCTGACTCTTCCCAACTGTGTGTTTTTAAAGCCCGTCAATACTTTAATAATATCAATGGCTCTCCCTCACCTTAACAAATAGCTTTTGGCCAGATTTTTCTTGCTAAGCCTTAAATTTCCCAGTTCTCACTTTAACAAGCATCAGCTGAAGTATTATGAGTATATTCAAATAATCATAATGCAAAAACATCTGTAAAGAGAAAATAATTTGGGGATTTTTTTTTCACATACTTTTGGGCCTTTTATTTCTAAATATAATACAAATACCTTCCCAAAGGAATTTTCTTCCTGCTAACTTCTAAACCGAATAATTTCCCTTGATTTATTAAACTAAATTCTTACAGAAAGATTACAAGGGTTGTGAATAGCCAAGAACTGTAAGGTTATACATAATTACTTTAGGAATACACAAATATACAGTTATTTGAATAAATTAAAAAAGCAAAAAGGGAGATACTTAATTTACTGCCACTCTCGGTGTTTTTTCAGTGAAACAAATCTTAAATCCCAAAAGCCCGCTGAACCATTAAGCTTCATTAATGTAACAAATATCTAAAGACTACTATGCTTAAAGAGAGTGGTAGGTCTGAATTTGAAGTTTTAGATCAGAAAGGAAAAACCGAGAAAGACAAATCGGACTATGGTGTACCCTGGGTGTGGGTAATTTCCATTTTAGGGTCTTAGAGTGGAGAATTGCAAGATTTACTTGAAATTTTGAAGTATGGTAGTTGTTTAAGCTAAGAAATATAAATCTTGATAGTAATAAATGTGTAATTTTATTTTCCTCATCAGTGTGAGAAATTCTCAAAACAGGGACATATTTACGTGATAAACTATTGCAATACCAGCAACTTGTGTACTCTGATTTCCCCTATTTCCTTTTATTTTTTCCTTTTCAGATAACCACATTTTAATATCAGCTTTGGTGATTGCCAGCACAGTAATTTTGACAGTTTTGGGAGCAATCGTTTGGTTCCTGTACAGAAGAAATTTGGATTCTGGTTTCACCACAGTTTTTTCAACTGCACCCCAATCGCCTTATAATGATGACTGTGTGTTGGTAGTTGCAGAAGAAAATGAATATGCTGTTCAGTTTGACTAAAATTTTGGAAATCTCAGATTAAGACATCAAATACCTTACAGTAATTCTTGTGCAAGATTTTAACATAAAACTTGACAATGAAAATTATAGCTTATATGGTATATTTCGTTATTCTAGTAACATTATTCTCATGTAATCACCGTGACAAAAACTAATCTTTAGGATTATAAAAACACAGTATTAAAAAAGGAATGATCTTAGATATAGTGGTTTTAACAACTTCTCTCAATGCACCTTTCACTTGAATGAGGAAAGCTTAAAGCTCAATAGTGAAGCAGATAAAAACAGAAACCCAGTCTACTTGTCTTACCTGCTTTATCTTCCCTCCCACAGATGAACCACCGTGGTTTATAGCTGAGTTAAAAAAAAAAAAAAAAAGATTCTACCACTATAGTTTTAGCCATCACTACTAGGTCTTGAGCAATTTCTAGGTCTTGCTCCTTTGTCAATAGGGGGAATACACCCGACTTTTAAATTGATCCTATACATTTAGATAGCACTCATGCTGGTTACTCTGGCAGAGCAATATTATTTTTAATATTAATTAAATTAGAGGTAACATTTAATATTACCTCTAATATGATCTTCCTTTATGATTTAAATGTAGAAAATTTTACAGATATTAACACTCCATATTCCACATAATTTTACAATTTCATTATTTTTAGAACACCATTTTGGACCACAAACAGTATTTAGCACTGATCACAAATGGTTAGAATTTTAGTAAGGTTTTATAAAATTTCTGAAACAAAAAAAAATTACAGTTGTACAAGGAAGGCTGGCAATGAGGGAAGAAACACTTGTTATCACAGTGCCCCTGTAAGGACTTTTCTCCTACCACCACACCTGTTCCGTATCTCATGTTCCCCAAGCATTGATGAATTTTATCATTCAATGACATGAAAACTGTAAGCAAAAACTGCAGAAAAACACTATGTACTACTGTAGTGATGATGCTCAAAGTTTTCAGTACATGTATTGTACATTTTAAGACAAAGGTGAAAATAATCATTTTGGGGGTAAAAAATGAAAACGGAAGAAAGCTCAAACAAGTGTGATTTTCTTTAGCATCCTTTACAGCTTAAAGACAATATTAGAAAAGATAAAGAACATACAGGCTTCATATAAAATTGTATTTACTACATTTAGAAACTTGAAAGCTCAAGGAAAGTAATCTCTCTCCCTAACCCACATCCCATCAATTATCTTGCGGGGAATAATTTACTTATGAGGAGATACACTATCTCTCAAGTTGGACCAATGGCAATAAAGTCCTAGCTTGTACCATCTGTTTCCATTGGCCACTATAAATCAAAAACATCCTCATCACAATTAATAGCACTATTGTTAATGGGACATGAGTAACTACAAAGCGATGACAGAAGACTCTACAGTGTGGCTAATGTGGTACTAAAAGAGCAAATGTTACACTAGATGTATTACACAAAACAATTATGCTCTGTAAGAGCTTTAAATTTCTGAGATTTTGTGTTGTGACTGACATGTCTTTACTGATAGGCTATTAATAGTGATAATAGTGAACGTTAAACTGCAATTCCTTCCTGCTTTTTCTATTCAAATTCTACCAGGCCTTTAAGAACTAAGACTAATCTTATCTCTTCATTAAAACTTTCTCTAATTGTCAGAAATCTCTACAATGTCCAATACAGTAGCCACTAGCCACAGGTGACTATTTAAATAAGTTAAAATTAAATATAATTTCAAGTTCAGTTCTTCAATTGCACTAGCTGTATTTCAAATGCTCAAATCACATGTGGTGAGTATCTACCATATTGGGCAACACAAATTATAGAACATTTTCATTATCATAGAAAGTTTTATTGGACAGTGCTGCTCAACAATTTCTCCTTCAACTCAACTCCCATGCAACTAATTTTCTTCTGTTCATTTTGATAACTTCTACCTAATGACACCTCTTCCAAAACAGCCATTTTAAACTGATTTAATTTCATTTTTCAAACAAGTCCTTAGAGGCCTCTGGTAATGAAGTGTTAAATTTAATATTTTTTATATATCCAAACATCGATAACAGGCCTTGTATCTATTCGGTGGTCAACAAATAACTGGATTATTCAAGTCTGTATTTATTTTTAGTATTAATAATAACGTAAGCATGCTTGTTTACATTCAGAATGTATAAATTGCTTTTTTCAACATCTCGGGTCTAGCTAATAATGACAATATAATTCTTATGTTTGGCAGATATCTAGAGAGAATAACATTACTTTTAACTACTTTTCTTGGGAATTTTTTGTAGTGAGTGGTGTATGGTCTCTTTATTTTTGTTCAGAGTTTAAAAGTGATAACCAATGAAACATTTTTCTTATTCCCTCTGATTCCTCTAATTCACATTTATAGGAGATCAGAAGCTAATACAATACCGAAATACTAAGTGGTAGTAAGGAACTACAAGAATACATAAAGCTCAAGCCATTGTCTGTGTATCTCTGTCATAGCATTAAATATAACAAAACTATAAATAAATTGTATGCACGTCAATGGAATGTTTTCTACCAATTACATTTTTTACATAAAAAACTTTGTGGGTTAAGCAGAAGACACAATTTTCATACTGAGTTCTATTAAAAGTATAAATGGTTGAAATTCAAAGCATCCTTAAGGGCCCACAGAATTACTGATACTAGCATCCTTAAATTTTTTATTTTTGCTTTAAGTAAGGCAATTCAAAGATAACAGGCAAAAGTTGAGCAAATGTTTCAGAAACATTTATATTTTTGTATGAAATGGGATATGAAATTTTAATAAAATTCTTGGCTATAGCCAAACCTTATAAGGTTTGAAATCTTTGAGCACCAGTTTAAAAGGAAACATTTCAAACTATAAAGGTAAATCAATCAGTATGCACTTTATTTCAAGCCAAGGTTTTACATTAAGACCAACAAACTAAGTGTGGGCAAACTGCTGATTTCACATTTGAGCAATTACACGGTTTCTATTTAGGTTCTGAAAAAATAGTTTGTTGCCATTACATAAAACTTTTTTAACCTGAAACCACCTGGAGGTATTTTAAAGTGTATCCTAAGGGTGTTGACAGAGGAAATGTACAGTGCTATGGAAATATACACAACTCATGACCACAGTGTAGATCTATTCATGGTGAATAGGTAATGTTCATCTGTTCTCCAAAGGTAGTGAAAAATATTAAGTCATCAAATAAATGCTCAGAATTACCAACAAACAGTTAAAAACGACCAGGATCCAAACAGGTTATTTATATCATATTTATCTATAAAGAAGTGACAAGACTAAAAAACACATTGAAAACCAGTGTTTTAAACTTTGAATGTGGGATTTAAAAATATTCCGTTAACTTGAGATTGCAATAATTTTTTTTTAACCAAATAGCTATTGACTAGCAATTCTGATATAATTTATAGCCGCAATATTCCTAAAAGGAATATCTACATACTATGGCCTATCAAATATAATCTGCATTTTGCAAATCAATATAAAACTTCATCCATCATTTATACATTTTATACTTATATACTTTTTTTAAAATTAGATTTTTATTGCTAAGTGAATTTAGAATTCAAATTAAATTTGGAAACCTAATATAATGCTCTTCATAACTTTCTCTCCATCCTTTTTATTTTTTTAAACACTGGAAGCAAATGATTATGAAAATGAGACTGCAACTTAAGGCATTTTAAAAGGAAAAATAATTAGGTGCCATTTGGCATTTTATTTCAAAAGCATATTTTGTCCCACTTTTTTCACTAGCAAGAGACTAAAACACAAACTTTTCCCATAAAAGTAGTCCATATGACTACAGTAATCAGAACACAAAAAAGGGTTTGTCGGCATTGCTTAGATATTTAAAACAAGGGTAACACTTTCCCATTCACCTAAAAGAAAAATACTTTTGATTACCAGTTTATAAACATCAGATTCACTGGCCATGTTAAAAGGTCCAGCAGTAGGATGTTAATTCAGCAACACTTGAGAATGAATATATATATATATACCTGAATACATGTGTATATATATATTCATTTTATACATGTATAGTCAATGTATTCAATAGGCATTCCCTCAAAATTAATTCATACTTAATTGCCAGTTTTAATAAACACTTGTTCACAGATCATCCATTTGTCTTATACGAAGTTAGGCAATATCAAATGTTCTGTTATGGTCTCCATCTTCTTCGGAATCATCCTCTGAAGCTGTTGGAAAAAAACAGGATGATCAAGAATGATTTTAAGGGGGAGGAGAATGGAAGTGTAAATATGAAGCCAGAACAGCAATGACTTGTAAAATAAAAATCCCAATTTAGTATACTGTTTGGTCAAAATGGTAAGTTATCATGACAGGGTTAGGGTGGTTTGACTGTGGGTGATGCCCATCCACAACGTCCCCACCCTCACATCTTTTTGTTGTTAGTTTTTATAAAAATGAAAATGCTTAAAAATGTGTTCAACAACGTCTTCTAAGAAGTTTCTGAGATCAATTTGTGTTTATAGTAGCTAATGATATATATACACTAGCTACTACAGAAAAAGTGAACTTAAGTGCTCTCACGCACCCGAGTAGAATCTGGCTTATTACTGCTGCATATGTTTGATGCATCCAATGAGAATGAAAAAAAATGTACATAGAATAATAGGTTATGGGTGTTCTTGCAATTTACATCAAAGCTATGTCTATACAATGCCAAGAAAAAGCTCTATTTAGTCAAAAAAGCTTTATACAGACACAGCCTAAGTTAAAATAATTGGGCTTAGTAAAAACACTTTTTTTATTCCTATGCCTCCACATTGTCAAAAATTTACCACTTTTGCAATATTTCTGACCTCAATTCATTTTAGAGTCATTAGTGGCTCACGAGTTTAATATAAAATATCCTGGAATGTCTTTAGAAAGGACATAATAAATAAAACTATGTATTCTGTTAACTGTTCTGCATGTGAAGGAAAATGGAAGTTCATTAAAATAAACATCTATCCAGCATCTCCCCTATTATCAAGGGCAGAAAGGTTAAATGTATATTCTTCTTGTATTAATATTGGAAAACTGAAGAGCATCAAGCAAACAGAATCAATGAGAAAATTATTCTACACATTATAGATGAAACTTGAGTCTCCATATTTCAGTATGTTTATCTTGCAGAAATCTTAAATCCATTTTAAATAAATGATATCAAGCATATACTTAGCTCATGAATGGGTAAATCCTACAGTTAAGTTTTATGCTATATCATGGAGAAATATCAAACTAAAAATAAAATAGCTTTTCAGAGAATTCATCATGTTTTTCTATTTGATTAACTCCACGAGAAGAAAATTCTGTCAGAACCAATTTTCGGAATATATTAATACTCTGGTACTTAGGAGTTAACTTGTAGCACCCACAACATCTTTCACTCGCAGTTGAGTTTGGGTATATTTGTCCTCCGTCTTTTTCCATCTCTCTCACGTGTTGCAAGTTTAGAAAACTTAAATTCTACATAAG